AGAACACCTGCCATCAGGTGAGCGCTGTCGCTCTGCGGCACTTGTTGAACAAACACATACATAGAAGTGAGCAGCCTTGTCGGTCTGTGCCCCCTTTTTTATCAAAACTGGACTCGGACTTGGGTGGTGTGGACTCGGACTCGGGTGGCGCGGACTCGGGGGGGGGGGGCGCGGACGTCGGGGGGGGGGGGGGGTGCGGACTTCACTACAACACTGCTCGATAGTTGGATGATTGAGGAACATGATGTCCTTCAGCTAATTATTGATGTGTAGACCAAGTATAGCAAGATGAATGTTTATCTGATTTGCTTTATTGATGGCACTTAAATGCGTAGATGATACTTCCTTATTATCCAATGGAAATTCCGACTCATAACACTGATCAATGTCAGTAGTTAGCTATACGTCTCATTCTCATTTATGACCATGCAGAAGATGTGAAATGTCCGGTGATTGAATGTTGCTATGTGTGGGCGCTGTATTAGTCTGGCAGTGCTGGCGGTGACACCCATTGTAGGATGTGCTTTTCTGCTAATCCATAGAATGCTCAGAAGAAGCGGGATCAGTCTAAAGCCAACCTAGGTGACTCGCCCGACGTCTCGGCGAGTAAGCAACTGCGATTAGAACGCTCATCAGATGGCGCTGGTCCATCGTCGTCATAGCGATGGCAGGAATCCTGTGTAGCATCCTCCATCGTTGCTCGATGTCGTACGTACCTTCGTTCGCAGACTCCGGTCGGGCTGTCCGGTGGTCCATTTCGGCGCTCGATAGTTACACGTGTTTATAAGCAGGGTTTAGCGGGTCAGCGGTCGTGAAAACACGCAGGGCGGAAAGGCCTGACGCCAAGCACAATATCTCGTCGTCGCACTATCGGTTCTGCTTCAGTCGCGCTTGTGCAGATGTTAGAAATGGAGGGCTTATATTGGTTATGACGTGCCACGCGAGTTTGTTACAAAGAAAATCATAGGGCGATGCGCTTTGGCGTTATGTTGCCTACGATTGCTGTCCGCATGTGTTTGTACATAATTGTGTTATGTTAGCGATGTGCTTGTTTTCAATTCTGATGTGTAGAAGAGAGATGTAATCGGGTAGAGGACCACGGTGATACTGTTGAACATTTATTGACCCCTGGATTGAAAGTAACGGGAATTTTGTTCTCGCCGATCAGTTCTGGACGATGCGAGACATGTCTTGCTCGTTGTCTTGCGAATTCTTATCACAGATCTGCTCTAGCCTTAATGCATCAATATAAACCTCACGTTTCCCGAACCGCTTTCACTGGTTTGATACTAGTTTGATTCTCGGGTCGTCCATAGCGGAAGGAGTCGTAGAAACGAGTTTTCGGCTATGAGAGAGATGATGTTTTCTGTGAATGTTGTCAGGCATGGTCAAGTTGAACGTTCAACGCAGGTTCGTGCAGAACAATGGTTGCCGACGAACCTAGATCCGACGTTTAACGTGCGCGTGTGCCAAGACGGAATCGGGTGTCTTAAACTGTCTTTTCGTACAACTTGTTTGCCCCTATCTGCCGGAGTGATGTACGGTTAGCTAGCGTGTGATGCGTCTGTCAGCGCTATCACTGTGATATCTCCGCCGCGTTACTGTGTTACAAACTAATACGTGTCAGCAGAACGGGGTAAGTGCAGGTGCTACTTCCCATGTGGACCAAACCTTTTTCCCGCTCGGGGGGGGGGGGGGGTTGTCGTCGGTGAAGTCCTAGCTGAAGTAGGTGTTTGAATCTTCCATTACGAATGCAAGAGCGGCGCGGTGACAGGACGTCGGGTAGAAATGCGCGGGACACATCGCTGACTGCTGTCTGATACCGAAGGGAACTGCAGCACTACGTATGTATCCACAGGCAGAGTGGAGAACATGGCTACATAGGTAGAGCTAGACCTGTGAAGCACAATCGTACTACTAGTACTACTACTACTAGATTTAGTATGACTCCGAGTACGAGTGTAAACTAGGTCTCGCCGGCATTTTTGTACTTGTAGTTGTATAGAAGTAGGAAAACGGGTGTAAAGCAAAGCGCTATGAGCAAAAAAAATCACATATCAATAAACCTTCCGGTAATGACATGAAGCATGCTAATGTTAAAAGAAAGTTAAGTTATTATTTAATACCAAATCATAATCTTCTTCATCGGCGCACATAAAATCATCATCCATGTCCGACATGATGCTATGTAGCTGGAAATCGAGGGTTATGAACTTTACGTAAAATCGACTATAGGGGCAAAATTATTGCGCTAAGCAAACTTCTGAAAATATATATTGTTGATAATAACCGTAATACGGATTAAAATCAAATAAATCTAGTAAAAAATATTTTTAAGTATATCAAATTTTTGTTTTTTATAGGGTAAGCTTTCCACACGGATTTTATGTTTCTCCATTGCTTGAACAGTGGTGACACCTACACGCAGAACAGGAAATCACACACAGTCAAGATGGTAAGAATGATTCGAAATAACTGCGTCGTTTCTGCATTAATTTATAATTCTGCTAGTTAAATCAGGATATAGCATCGTGTTATTTGCATTGCGACGAAGTCTTTGATAATCCACTGTCATCCGTTGGTGAAAATTAAGCCAGGGCTGCTCTCAATATACTATTATATAGTGTTGACGTGGTGGCTGCGTGCGGACTCCATCGAATTTTTCAATCACAAAATACTACTATCGCTGAGAGGGTCTATGTCCTCCAGGGTACTGCCAGAACGTACCCTGGGTACGGTCCGGTATACCGGAACGTACCCTGGTACCAGAGCTTATAAATCAACGTGATTTATATGCTCTGCTGGTACTATCTAATATGCCGGACCGTACCTCGCCTACTCCACTAACGAGTCTAGAGAGTCCAACTACGCCTACGCCTACGCCTACTCCCTAACCCTAACCTTAACCATATCAGATACTTACCAGGGTACGTTCCGGTATACCGGACCGTACCCTGGGGGACATATAGACGCTATGAGCATTACTAGCACTACAATCGAGTAACTCGATTGTTGAGCTAGGCAGAACATTTTTGGAATCATGCCATGATTTGTGTTTTAACATATATTTGCAACACTGACGGTTCTGAAACGCCAGAATTACAAAGTACTTGCGATATCTATAATGATTCAAATTCATAAACGTCTGACCCCCTTACACTGGCAATAAGTGAATAACTTACAGTTACAGAGTCTGAAACTATACATAGTGATTGCCACTTACGGCCCCTCCCACTCCCATGTGGTTTGCGTATTATAGCTGAATTACACTGTATAATAAGTGTTATTCCATAAATATTTGTTTAGTAACACCTTCATTCATGTTACTTTATGCACCTGATTTTCTTGTTTATTTGAGAAACACCATAATATATTATTCATAAACATAGTTTGCATATACACATGTGTAATTTGTAAATTTGTTTATTCTCATAATTATACGGTTACAACCTACTATATTTTTTGTTATAGAAATAATTGCAATATAACTTTTCAACTATGAGGCAGTGTCATGGTTAGAGGGAAAAGGATTGATGAATATCCTTTTTTTTTATTCCTACGTAGCAATTGTATATCTGCCATATACACGCATGTATGATATATTCTTTTTATTCTATTTTTCAGGCAGACTTTTTGAAAGGCTTACCAGTTCATAATTCTTCCAACTTTAGCAAATTCCATACTGATAATACTTTTAAATCTGTAAGTATATACATACATTTGCTATTTGTGTGCATGCATTATGAAATGTATGTGTTGTGACCATTGATCTAGAGACACATTAATTAACACTGTCTTGTGGAGGTTATAAACAATCAAGATTTCTATGCACACATGAAATGTATATGTGACAACAGTATATATGAAATGATATTTTAGGTAGTTCACAGTAAAACCATACAATTATTTTCTTTTAGAGTAAAAAGCCATCAGTGTATATTTCAACAAAAGACCACCCATCAGAACAAGGTATAGAACTTATATACGTAGTTAAAGATCATATGTAGTTAAATATTCATCACAGAGTAATCCATAAGGCTGATTCTAAGTAAATCTCTCTGGCCTGTATGCCAACGATATTCTACTGTTAAGCTCCCTATGAATAGTTGATAAACAGTATACTTATGATAAAATTTTAAAATGTGTTTGATTTGGTGATAACTCCCAGGTTGCATGATTAAACAGAATTTGTGTACGTACAACATGTATGTGATTATTTCAGTGATAACAACTGAGAAGACAAATATCTTATTGCGTTACCTCCATCAACAATGGGACAAAAAGGTAATGTAATTACTACACATGCACAATTTAGTTCATATGTATCTACGAGTGGATGAATAGATAATGAAATCAATGATTAGGTTGTTGTAATTTCTTAAAATCACTAAGGCTAGATAGCAGTGTTGTAGGTCTCGAGGCTGGTCTTGGCCTCGAGACCAGCCTCGATGCCGGTTTCTTTTGGTCTCTGCCTCGGAGTGCAATGACTCGGACTCTAACTCGGGTCGAGGCCACTACATAGTACATAACTGTACATATTGTAAACACGCAGTTTACAAGAATTGAAAACTAAAACTCCTACCTAATACAAACAAGTGACAGATCCAGGGGGCAGGAGACACCCCCCATTTTTAGCTCATCTGACATAGTCAGATGCAGCTTGTAGAATCGCATGAGCATGCGTCCGTCCGTCCGTCCGTCCGTCAACAGTTGGGCACAAATCTTAACCGCTCGACGTACGGTCACGATATTCGGGACTTCGGGGGGGATCGTCAAAACGAGTTTGGCGATGTCGAGCTGGAGGTCAAACGGTCAAAGGTCAAGAGGGTAAAAGAAGGGGAACATTCCCTCCTTACCTTAAGGTAGTAGGGAGGAAATGCAGAATTGCGGCACAAATCTAAACAGCGCTCGACCTAGGCTCGTGATAGTCAGTGTTATAGCATCATGGTAGGAAAAGCCATCACTGTGCTGAAATTGGAGGTCAAAGGTCAATGGGGCACTGGGCAGATTTTAGACATTTTCTGAGGACATGGTCTGACGGAGCGATTGGAAACTTTTTTTGTTTCAGCAGTGACCTAGCATTTTTATGATTTATTGAAAGGACCATGAAAATGTACTTTCTGCTGACATGGCGAAGAGTAAGTGTCGGATAACCTTTTGACCTCAAGAGGAGGGTTAAAATGGATTTGTTTACTGTTAGAAAGAATTTGACTGCCGGGTTTGCTATAGAATCGTATACATATTTGCCTGCATGTATGAGGCTACAATGTCACAGTGAAATTTCAAAAGCTAAATTTGGTTTGAAGAAGTTTATGCTCCTTAAATCGTATAATTCATGGCATTCTGTACTGTCAGTGTGTTACATGTAACTTTATGCCACTGCCAGTGGCCACTGCCAGTGCATGTGGTGGTGATAGTACGGTGTTAGTTTGCCTGCTTAATTAGTTACAGGTGGCAGCTCTCTATTTCAGCTTGTAGGGCTTGCGTAGATAAAGCGGATGAGTGCCTTACCTATTCTGTCTTGCAAATAGTTGTTGCTATACTACGTACGTATGGGAGCTTCCATCTTTAATCTTAAGACACAACGATACGCGCGCATCTCGTGGCAACTTTCATAACGATCCCAACGAAACATTCTTTGGAAGGTTCCTGATACCATCCAGTGTTCGAAATAAGGGCTATCCGTTTGTCTGCTACTTGTCCATTTCACGGAGGACAAGTAGATCTGTCGCGTAGCTTGTCTGCGCGACAAGCAGCTTTTTAGAGCAATTTTTCATAATTTTCAAACCATTGCTGGCCGCTGCTGGGAACACGCGAGTTAACATAGTATAAACATGGGCTGCCGGAGTGCCACGCGAATTAACATATAGTATAAAAATTTATGTGAAGTTATATAAATACGTTACCGCCTTGCTAGCTCACGAAACGGGCTTGCTAGGTTAGAAGACCATCAGACAACAGTCTGATAGACAATCAGACATCTGTATAGACAGATCAGTCTGAATAGACAATCAGACATTCGTATAGACAATCAGTCGCTCAGCCTCGTGCCGGAAGCGCTACGTACCTCGAGAAAGAGAAAATCGAGAGAGAGGGAGCGAGGGGAAGAGAGAGTGAAGAGAGCAGGAGAAGCAGAGAGAGCAAGAGAGAGAGAGAAGAGGAGAGAGAGAAGAGAAGAGAGGAGAGAGAAGAGAGAGAGAGAGAAGAGGCAGTGGAAGAGAGAGAAGAGAGAGAGAGAGAAGGAGAGAGAGGAGAGAGGAAGAGAGAAGAAGAGAGTGAAGAAGTGGAGAGAGAGAGGCGGCGAAAAGAGTGAGAGAGAAGAGAGAGAGAGACGGGGAGAGAGAGGAGCGAGAGAGAGAGAGAGAAGCAGAGAGAAGAGACAGAAGCAAAGACAAAGAAAGAGAGAGAACAACGATGGAGAGTGAGTGAGCGAGCGAGAAGGGGAGAGAGAGAGCGTGAAGGGAAGAGAGCAGAGAGAGAGAGAGAGAGCGAGTGTGATGTTGAGCGAGAGAGAGAGTGTGATTGAGCGAAGAGAGAGAGGCGAGAGAAGAGAGCGCGAAGCGGAAAGAGAGAGCAAGGCGAGAGAGCGAAAGAGAAAGAATGAGAGACAAGAGGGAGAGCGAACGCGCGATGGGAGGGTGCTCTTGATTCGTTGCCAGTGAGTTTAGCATCAGAACACCTGCCGTCAGTGAGCGCTGTCGCTCTGCCGCACTTGCTTGAACAAACACATACATAGAAGTGAGCAGCCTTGTCGGTCTGTCCCCCTTTTTTATCAAAACTGACTCGGACTTGGGTGGTGTGGACTCGGACTCGGGTGGCGCGGACTCGGGGGGGGGCGCGAACTCGACTTGGGGGGGGGGAGGTGCGGACTTCACTACACACTGGCTCGATAGTTGGATGATTGAGGAACATGATGTCCTTCAGCTAATTATTGATGTGTAGACAAGTATAAGCAAGATGAAATGTTTATCTGATTGCTTTATTGATGGCCACTTAAATGCCGTAAGATAGTACTTGCCTATTATTCCAATGAAATTCGACTCATAACACTGATCAATGTCAGTAGTTAGCTATACGTCTCATTTCTCATTTATGACCATGCAAGAAGATGTGAAATGTCCGGTGATTGAATGTTGCTATGTGTGGGCGGCTGTATTAGTTCTGCGCAGGTGCTGGCGGTTGACACCCATTGTAGGATGTGCTTTTCTGCTAATCCATAGAATGCTCAGGAAGAAGCGGGATCAGTCTAAAGCAACCTAGGTGACTCGCCCGACACGTCTCCGCGAGTAAGCAACTGCGATTAGAACGCTCATCAGATGGCCGCTCGTCCATCGTCGTCATAGCGATGCAGGAATCCTGTGTAGCATCCTCCATCGTTGCTCGATGTCGTACGTACTTTGTTCGCACGACTCCGGTCGGGCTGTCCGGTGGTCCATTTCGCGCTCGATTAGTTACACGTGTTTATAAGAGGTTTAGCGGTGTCAGCGGTCCGTGAAAACACGCAGGGCGGAAAGGCCTGACGCCAAGCACAATATCTCGTCGTCGCACTATCGGTTCTGCTTCAGTCGCGCTTGTGCAGATGTTGAGAAATGGAGGGCTTATATTGGTTATGACGTGCACGCGAGTTTGTTACAAAGAAAATCATAGGGCGATGCGCTTTGGCGTTATGTTGCCTACGATTGCTGTCCGCCATGTGTTTGCTACATAATTGTGTTTATGTTAGCGCATGTGCTTGTTTTCAATTCTGATGTGTAGAAGAGATGTATATCGGGTAGAGGACCACGGTGATACTGTGAACATTTATTGACCCCCTGGATTGAAAGTAACGGAATTTTGTCTCGCCGATCAGTTCTGGACGATGCGAGACATCGCGCTCGTTGTCTTGCGAATTCTTATCACAGATCTGCTCTAGCCTTAATGCATCAATATAAACCTCACGTTTCCCCGAACCGCTTTCACTGGTTTGATACTAGTTTGATTCTCGGGTCGTCCATAGCGGAAGAGCCGTAGAAACGAGTTTTCGGCTATGAGAGAGATGATGTTTTCTGTGAATGTTGTCAAAGCATGGTCAAGTTGAACGTTCAACGCAGGTTCGTGCCAGAACAATTGGTTGCCGACGAACCTAGATCCGACGTTTAACTGTGGGTGTGCCAAGACCGGAATCGGGTGTCTTAAACTGTCTTTTCGTACAACTTGTTTGCCCCTATCTGCCGGAGGAGTGATGTACGGTTAGCTAGCGTGTGATGCGTCTGTCAGCGCTATCACTGTGATATCTCCGCCGCGTTACTGTGTTACAAACTAATACGTGTCAGCAGAAGCCGGGTAAGTGCAGGTGCACTTCCCATGTGGACCAAACCTTTTTCCCGCTCGGGGGGGGGGGGGGTTGTCGTCGGGAAGTCCTAGCTGAAGTAGGTGTTTGAATCTTCCATTACGAATGCAAGAGCGGCGCGGCTGACACGACGTCGGGTAGAAATGCGCGGGACACATCGCTGACTGCTGTCTTGATACCGAAGGGAACTGCAGCACTACGTATGTATCCACAGGCAGAGTGGAGAACAGGGCTACATGGGTAGAGCTAGACCTGTGACAGAGCGAAGGGCTACATAGGTAGGGCTAGGTCTGTGACAGATCGAAGGGCTACATAGATACAGCTAGACCTGAGACAGAGCGAAGGGCTACATAGGTAGGGCTAGGCCTTTGACAGAGCAAGGGCTACATAAGTAGAGCTAGATCTGTGACAGAGCAAGGGCTATATAGGTAGAGCTATACCTGTGACAGAGCAAGGGCTACATATGTAGGGCTAGGCCTGTGACAGAGCAAGGGCTACATAGGTAGTGTAAGGTAGGGGCCTCAGACATGCATGCACCACGCATCATTGCTTAATACGTTTCTTTGTGATTACTCTCCTGTAAAAACAGACGACCAGTTTACATACACACATATATGTGTGTATGTGTTATATTATTTTGTATAATTATAATTGTGGAGCGAAAATGCTGTTATGTTATTTGATGGAAAGGAGTAGCACGCCCGCTCCACACCACTAGCCGTATAGTGGCGATCTAGATCCTAGATTGCAGCTTCTATGAGCCAAACTATTAACCAAGATGGAGACGCACAGATAGATACCTGGGGTCCGTTGTCAGATACAATAAGTCTTAACATTAGTCTTGACATTACCTTTTCTCGTAGACTGTTCCTTTATACAGTGTGTATGAGAAACTCGTTAGTTTACCGCATCTATATGACAAAGTTTTAATGTTAAGACTAATGTTAAGACATTTATTTTGTTTCTGACAACGCGTCCCTGCCTCATTGTTTAGTTACTATCTGTGTCTATAAGTGTCGCTACGGGTCGTCTGGTGATAACAGATGGTTCTTCTCCTGGGACATGGCACTCTCAAAACTCGTTTGCATTTGTCACAGCTCGCTGCTGTTGTTAGAATACAATGGAGGTAAACAGTATAAAAAGAGATCAGGCTGGTATTGGGTTGTATCGTCACTATCAGCTGTGGGACAAATAATCAAATAATAATAATAATGCTTGTTCGCGTCATTGTTGTGGTAGACATGTATGTAGACTCGCGAATGCTTTCATAAAGAGGTTTGTAAAAAGGTCAAGAGTATGCGCTATGTAATCAAGATAATTCGCCATGAAAAGGCGAGCTGTGTTTAGGCTAGGGAACACATCGTGGATATAACACATACATTGCACGCAAGATGTATGTATTTCGGTTTTATGTGTCACGCGTCAGACAATGCAGTTCGGTTGTTAGTTTTGTTTTGGTTTCTTATGCAATTAAACGTTTGTCAATTTTATTTATGGGAAAGTACATTATGCATGTTTAATGACTCAAAATGTCACATTGACTTCACATTCACTTAGCTGCGACTTTATAATATGCGAAAATTTGCCAGATCATGTGCAAATAACTCGCATGTGTATATTATAGTACAGGCAAAAACAAATGAATGTAAACTAGCACATGTGAAACCCAGCACTACATATCATTTGCAAGTTTTAATGCCAGCCTTTAGAATTGTTTCATAATGCTTACCTCTTATATTATTTATTGCTCCGTTTGCCAATTCCATACATTCTTATTTCATTACATTTCGGTTACGAGTTTTATTTAGAACGGAGGTGCTGACTTCCCATTTGAGGTACTGATATTCTGTATGAAACATGTATCTTGACATTACTGCCCACATTATTCGCTGAATCGACGGTGTTTGTGCCCCCCCCCCCCCACACTGGTGGCAGCGGTGACGTAACATCTACGCCTCGTGTAAGACCGAGTCGCCATGTCACGAGTTTGCTGCGTGTTGTGTCAGCGACTGTAGGCAGGAACGTCTCCACGTACGCTTTCACATTCGGACGTTTATGGGTCCCCGTGGCCGAGGTCGCAACGTAGATTACAGCTGTGTGGATATCACACCTGCACAAGAATACATTCATCTGTAGGTGTTACAGGAGGCGGGCGGCAGGAGAGAGTTAGGGAGTTAAAGATTCGCAGCTCATATGTTGTCTAAAAACGAGAAGTGCCCGATGTCATAAACGTGATGAGTAGTCATTTCTATTGTCAAGCCTAAAATGTCAAATTTTTGACATTTTAGACTTGTGATGTCACAACTACTCACGTTTCTGACAACTGGTCACCAGTTTACATGCATCCCTCACACACAAGACTCTGATGCAAAGTGTAGACCATTGTATATATAATAATATATATATGTCTTCTGTATGCATTCTGTATCAGTCATCGTAGCATTCCATGTGGGAGGTGGGACAGCGTGTCTGGTGAGCCCGGATGGGTTGCCGACCATTACCGGCCCTGTAGCAGCGATAATGAGACAGTTCTTGTCCGTGTCAGGTGGGGCGGGCACGCGATCATCACGTGACGGTAGGTAAAACATCGAGCGGCCGCACCGTTGTATCAGAACTCTAACCGATCAACATTTCTCGGCTTCCGTCGAATATGCTCTAGTAGATTGTGGGTTGGGAGGCTAGCCGGCCAGGCGGACTCATCACGTGGTTTATTACGGATCTATTTTCGAGGAGTGGATTACTGTGGTTTGTCTTCAGGGAATTTACCATGGCGTGAAAGTGCACTTATGTTATTATATGTCAGCGTCGTGCATGTTATATCAATGATAAATACGGCAAAATGTTGTTCAAACCTATTCAGCTCTTACGTGTGTCATGTTGTACGTTATTAATATCGAATTTAACATCATTGATCACACTTGCAGCCTTCAGTCTACACGAGAAAATAACACCAGATGCAGACTCACAATAAATATGGTTTATGTTAGACAATGTCAAAAACACTTTTGGAAAGTTAATTTACCTAATGTCCTTTATCAGATAACAAATGTGGCACAAAAAAACAAATGTCACAGAATATGGAGAGCTAGGTAAACTAGGCGAACTTTTTCAGCAAGTTTTGTATCCTTGAATCTTCTATCCACGAACTGTACTGATTCTGTAAGCCTTCCTCTCGTTCTCACCAGGTGTCACTGTTCATCGCATTCCAAAGAGAATCTTTACCCTCTCCAGTTTTTTTCGCTTGTCTGTACATGGCCAAGAGTTCATCATCCGTAGCGCCACCTGGTTGTGCAGGCGGTATGTCCCGTGGATGAAACTTGCATGCTCGTTTTCTCTTGCGTGACTCGCGATGTTGGCATGGTAACAGTGCAGGGGGGCTGGAGCAGCCAACTGCGCTCATGTTAGGTTGGGCATCAAGAGTTGTGTCGCTGTTCGTGCAGCTAGAATGAGCAGGTTGTGATGCAGAGGGCAGCACCTCCCTGTCCGTCGCGTCACGGATCAGAACGATGATGTCGTGTGATTGATGATTCAGTTGACATCTATGTGACGTAACATCGGCCGCTTTCCTTCTGCGATCTACGAACACGACATGTTCACTTGTTTAAGACTAAGGAAAACAAGTCACCGAAATCAGCGTGGACCTTGAGTCTTGAAAATTTACTCATAAAAATTGAACTTTAAAATTTTTTCTCTAACCTCTGCAAATTTATATTACCCAACCACTATGTGTACTGCACAAAATACTACACTTACAAAGTCAACCCTATGTATAAGGGTGACAGAATTGAAAAGTCAAAAATCTTTAATAGACAGTGGTTTCTATGATAAAGATGTGGTATCACTGTCCAACTGGCACTTAATATCAAAATAGAGTGTCCTTTATACACAGGTGTCTGTTCTACAGCAGTGCCAGCTACTGCAGGTTTGACTGTGGTTTTCCTGCGCAAGTCTACTACAGCTTGCATCTACGAATGGAACGAGAGATATTTGCGAGAGCCTCAAACATACAGAAGCTAGATGCGGTGCTAGTGCTGCTGCTGCTGCTGCTGTGTTGCTGTGAGCAGAGGTGTGACCAGTCGTTCACAGTGGCCACCGCCCATCCTTCGTCCGTGAACGCGTGGGGCTGGGGAGGGCAGCCCGCCCGCCGCAGACGTAACCTTCCGCACAGAGTCGCGAGTCCACTGTCCTAAAACAAGAGGGCAGTCATTGACGCATATCTCCATCGCGACTTTACCTTCATCGCAAAACTCGGAATTTCCAATCTGCTGATTACTTGATTAATGTAGTTTCACCTGAAAACCCGGTCGTATTTCAGTAGGAACAATAGGTCATTTTACTACAAAATATTTACTGAAGCGACATTTTAGACAGCTATTCTGCTGTCTTTGTCTAGCTGTAGTCATTTATATTGTACTCATGTAGCTTTCACTCATTTTATGTTACATTAAGTATATATTTATATATTTCTGTGTTATATATACATGTTATATTATATTATATAATATATTAATATATTTCTATTTTACGTGTTGGAATGAAATCCGACAACGTGATTTCAAGAGCTTTGCACCTCTTGGGGCCTGTTTTCCCAAAACAAAAATTAATCTTAACATTACGATGTTTCTGACAACAGGCCGCTGTTTTACGCTGGGCGGCATGGCATCGCTAGCATTACCTTGACGCTCGTCCCCGTGAGTAGCAGAGTTTGCAGGTTTCTCATCGCCGTGGCGATGCACTTAACACCCACATCGGTGATAAACTCGTTTCCTGCAACGACAAACGAAGACTATGCTCGTAAATTAGCATTCGGCTCGCGAGACGATCGCAGACTCCGCTGGGAAGACCTTCATAAAAGCTTAGTTGCTGGCTTTCTCGGCGGTCACTGAACACTACGACACATGCGAGAAGCATCCCAGTCGAATAATAAACACAAGACTGCCTCAGCAAGAGACAATCGCACAAGAGGACCTGTGCACTGTGAATATAAAGTGGTCGAAAGCGCCCCCTATTTGTCCCACAGGTATAATTATTTATGCTGGGTCTACAGATCGTCGTTTAGCATTCGTCGTCCCACACGGTCGAGCATCCGTGCGTCTAACGAGCAGCTTCTTAATCGACTACTCGCAAATTAGAGAGCCGGCAACGACACTTGAATTGATTGCGACGTCATGTTGCTGTCACGTTCTGATGTTCGGTATGTAATTTATACTGGCATGGGGTGTGACAAAGACTACTACGTTTAAACCTGCAGCCCGCTCATTTTACCCTATTCCCCTGTCCCATGCTTCGCCCACTTCATCTACGTTTCTCTGCACTCGCTCCCTACGTGACTGCTCACTGACTGACTGCCACCATTCAAGAGTAAAGCACAGATGTCCACTGTGCTCAGTTTGGCAGTGTATTTGTTTCATGTGTAAAATCAAAATGTAATATAATGCAGCATACATGGCACTATAGTATAAGTGCAAAATTTGACAGTTCAGTCCACGCTTAACATTGCCCGCAAGAGTTAGAATTTTAATTTGTTACAGACAATAAAAGTAAAATTCCCATACACATACCCAATGCACCTAAAGCCCTATTAGAGATTGCTAAACATGCCCATGCGCAATGTATGGGGGGGGGGGCATATGCCATAGGGGGGATGTCTAACATACTACCCCGGCACGTACCACTTAGATCCAGGTAGGTGAGGCTGCTGTGTCCGCGCTCGTACATGCGCAGCGGTGACGTCAGCTTCTGCAGGCCGGCATCAGTCAGGCAATTCCCCTCCAAACTCAGATGCGTCATCCTGTGTGTGGGGGGGGGGGAGGCTACAAATATGAGTGATTGTACATAGGGCATCGCTGCGTGTGCCCGCCGCGAGAGCTAGCCGAAGCTTGGGCCGTTTATCTTTTGACGCGCCTGCTACACTCAATAATCATTAGACTTAGGGTTGAGATTAGAGGTAGGGTTAGGGGTACAGTTAGTGTTAAGTTTAGGTAAAGTATTTGGTGGGTTTTGGTTTACATAAAAATAGTGCCTCTCGTGGGCCAGACAAACACAATTTGCAAGGTTCCAATGACTATTCCCATATATACTATTATCTTCCTGAATCTACTTTTTTCCTTTATTGAAAACATTGACATGTGTAACCCTCAGTATCTGAGTCATGTGTTGTATTATAAGTTCTGGTACATGCACCTGTGCAGCCTCAGTATCTGTGCGATGTTTTGCAGCATGTCGTGTTGATCACCTAGCCGACAGGCAGCGAGACTCAGCTCTGTGAGACAGGTAAACTGTGACAGGTGATCAAAGTATTCATCCACCACCCGTGTCGCTGACGTCAGGTTCAGCTTGCTATATAAATGAAACGTACATAACAGGAGTAAATAATAAGGGGGGAGAAAGGCGTACCAAAGCACAGGAGAGTCGAAATTTACTAGCCTTAGTCTACCTAGGATATATCACACGTGAGTCAATAAACTTTAGCTGAAAACTCACCTTGCATATGAATTCCTAATCTTACCATAAAAATTCACCTATCATCAAACGAAAACACTCTTCCAATGTACGTTCACAACCTGGAGATATAGACTAAAACGTACTGGAATGTCCACCTTTTATTTACTCCTGACGTCTCACTGGCATGCCATTGTGATTGTCACAACATAACGTTGATTATGACTACAATACCACATAAATTATTGTTACAGCTAAACCTCTATATAAGGGTTACTCGAGAGAAATATCAAAAGGGGCCTTCGTGGATAGGTATCCATCCGTTCTATAGAGGTGGCTACTAACACAGGTTTGATTGTATAAAAAAATCATACATAATTACGTTGACAAATGCAACAATTTATATCACTATACATCTAAGTGCATGCACTGCTGTGACTAATTTCTGTTGCTAAATATACATGAATTTTTAAAATTAAAAATTGATACAAAAACTGTAAAAGGAGAAGTTTATTCCATAATTTAATTATACTAGTAAAACCCAATAATACTACTGCATACGACTCTTGGCACAGCATTTCCAGAGCTATATTGCTTAGTAGAGCTAGGTGTAAGATTAACCTACATTAGCACCAGATGTGGGTATGCCTCTTGGAAAAGCTGCAGGCATTTCTGTGACTGTTCGTGCGGGGACTGCAATATCCCCAACCTTTCCACTTGTTTAAAGATGTCATGCCCCACCTAAAAAATTAAAAAGTGATTGGCTCATGGCAATACACAACAATGACAACTAACAACAACAACAACCGTATAACAAACCAAATAACAACATCGTACGGTACAATCAACAAACATATTCCAGCAATACGTAAGACCAAAGCAGGACACTCCGATATTCCTAATTCACTATAGTATTATAATGTTAATCCCGTTCTACCTTTTTCCGGAAAATTCAATGTGTCAGCTATACAAAGCTCTATAGTCTATACAATGTGTCAGCCAGGGGCATAAATCCCGGGGGGGATGGGGGGGATGCATCCCCCCTGCTCTTGAAGGAGGGGGGATGGCCTGTACAAATATCCCCTCCTGAGATTCAAAAAAAAAGAAAGAAAAAAAAGAATAGCCAAAAAGTATGGTTGCAAACATACAAAAACACGTGAAATTGTGACGCATCACGGGAGGGCAGGTGGGGCGGTTGCCCCCTATGATTTAAAAAAAAAGAAGGAACATAAGAAAAAAGAAAGAACGAACTTGCTTATAACGAAAACAATTCCAAGCTATGACAAAAGAAGCGTCAAAGGCGCCGCCTGTCTGTGTAGTATGGTAATTATTTATTTATTTTTAGTCGAGTAGTAATTTTATAATGTTTTCTCAATAAAATAATGCATGCGGCGGTATGCTGGAAACACCTGCGGAAATTTCGAATGGTTTACGGCACCTCGTCAGCTCGTGTAAAATTACGCAAAAGTTTACATAAATTTTAGCTTGATGAATCGCACCTAAAACGACCTTGCTTGCGTACGCGAAATCGTACGCAAATTTACTAAATAACTGCGTTGATAAATCGCAACTAAAGCCCGGCGCACATTCAAATTGCGGGCACTTACAATATCAATTTTTTTTCAAATTACC